GGTTGGAATCAAACAAAAGTCGAGTTGGTGAATTTTTTAAAATCTTACAAGTGTTCGTACAACCAGTTGCGACATGTCATCGGTCTTTTTGTTCTCTATTAGCGTGTTGCATGTTTATATTTTAATTTTTACACATTTCCATAGTAACCATGTTACTGAGAAAAACGTGACATGACACATAAGACGACATTCATGAACGTTGACTGGAGCCGGTGATTAATTGCGGGTGTGCTTCGGGTGTAGTACATGTTGTTTGTCGAATCGTGAATATCGAAATTATTTTACATGTATTAAAAGTGTAACACCGTAACATGCGGGTGTGTTATTGTACAGTATTGACATTAAAAAGAGTTTTTTCAACATCACTGTTAGGTTAGCTATCGAGAGTTATACCAGTATTAAGTTAGTTGTATGATTTACGGTATTCTCGCGCGATGTTAAAAAAAACTTTATCAAATCTTTTGTGTGACCAATAGACTAATAGATTAATAAATCGTTGCATTAGAATGAAAAGGTTACAACGCAATTAAAAAGAAAAATAAATATTTAAAAATAATAATTACGCATCTAATATTTAGATGTGCGATTATTAAGTGTAACTACTTCAACTATTGAAGAAGTTACATTCATTACACAGATAAATAAATCAAATTAAAAATCAAAATATTCATATAAACGTATGATAATTTGTTTTTAAAAACGTTCAGAACACTGCGGTTTAGTGATAAATTATCGAATTTACGTCAAGATCTTTTCATTCTTAGGCAACGAAATATACGTATTGGTTAGTTTATTTTTATCTTTAAACCATACAAGACAATGCATCGTCTTGAGTTTTTTCATACGAAGTTGAAATTATAATAATTTTTTTCTTATTATGTCTGTCACTACTGTTTCTCAGTTTAAAATTGGTCCTGCACGACTGATTTTATTGAACGATACGTCAAAAAAAAAACTCAACTCAGTATAAATTGACAAAGTAATTGTAATATGTTTTATTTTTATTTAAACAATAGTATAAAATTAACATAAAAAGATTTATTGGGACTTTGCACTTTACACGAAGAACCCAAAGTTTGAATTTCTTACATCAATTCTAATGGAATCGCCTCATTATTACCACTTTTAAGAAATTTTCACGTGCAATTTTTTTACTGAAAATTGCTTTAAAATTTATACATTTTTGACTAAAGAAATGTTCTCAATAATTTACTCAACTTACTTATTTTAGTGCCTAAATAATTGTGTTTTTTCACACGTTCAATTACATAAAAGTAAGAATATTGAAAAACCATTAGGAAACACTGTGTTTGTTTTACTGTGTTATCATATTAGCTAATTTTTTGTATCACTAAACTGTCTATTTTAGATTGGCATTGAGTATTGCATAAACTAATATGCGCTGCTACGCGTGGAAGCACTCGAATGTGGTGTTGAGTGGACGCTGGAAATTCGATTTGGCCATTAGGCTATCCTACCTTGCGTGTTCGTCTGGTTACGGCTGGACATTAGGGACTTGGCTGTCAATAGAGTTTCGCAAACACACCCGACAGTCGGATCAGTTTTCTCAATTTTTCTCAACGTAATTCGAGGTTTGTCCGTTCTGCAGTGTCCGACACGGGTGTTTTCGGATTACGCTAAGCGATGACGCCATAAATATAACGTGCTATTAGGACAACGTGCCGAAATGTCTGTGAAAAACTTGAGTGTGTAACTCCCATGTGACTATTAAATTCATTTACTAATTTCATTCATTTACCACATTGTTTTCATTGTGCACTGATTTTAAACAAATTGTAATATTCTCCTTTGGAATATTAATAAAATCAATCGGTTAATTATTCGGTTTACAATCAACAATATCTTACTAAGAAAAATCAAAATCCTTCAACTGCCAACAAAGTGACCATAAATGTCAATATGAATCAATAGTCAACAATGATTTTGAGGGTAAGAACCCATAAGCCATTTATGGCGAAAGTGAATCAGTTCGTCGAGTTTTCGGCCGTGCTTCACTTGTTAGACTTTACACCATGGTGTATGACAAATGGTGTTGGAAAATCAAATACTTATAGAAGAACGACATCTGACAAACGTGACACGAGTCGCGAGACGTCGTCTATCATCAAGCTATGAGGAACCGAAGAACTTTTATTATCAAAATAAAATATTAAAACAAAATCATTCTAAGAGAGCTCACAACATTCATCTTTTAAATTGGCAATAGAACTGAACATAAAGTTACATAATAATAAGTTTTCACTACACTTAGTATGGCACACAAGTATACTTCACTAACCAAATATAGTAATATTCACTCAGTCAATCAGGACGATGGAAACATGAAAATTATGAATAATGTACAATAATGTTTGAGTGAACATGTAAATACTCAAGAACTCTATTACAAAAACTTAATGAAGACATTGAACAAAAAAAAAAAAAAAAA